AAAGCTAGGTACCAGGTATGGATTCGCAAAAATAGAATAAGGTCAAGCACGATGCTGCAAGAAATGGTGGTCTCTAGATCATTGTCAAGTTGTCCTTCAAACAGTAAACAATTAATATTTTAATTATAGAGAATATTCATGTAATAGTTTGCAATGAATTTTACTTTTTTTACAAGCAACAAGTCATCATTAGATTCATTACCCACTCCAAAAACCAAACAACTTATATAACTGTGCCCGTGTCATTCAAATTTGAACCCTAAGCCATGAGTATTTTTCTTAGGATTCAAGGAAGCACAAATGCATGTATGCAGGATAACCAAAAAGGCAAGAATCCAAACCCGTATTGGGCAGAAACATTGCGACTAATTAAAATGAGAGATAACAAGTATGGTTGAATAAGTATATTAGAGGGACATACTCTTAAATTCTTTAAATAGAGGATAATCTTGGAACAAAAGCCGACAAATTTTCATGAAGCCTTTCATCTATGACTCTATGAGGGAAATTCTGACAGCAAATGTTACACACTAATTCACTGAATCCATTCTGTCTGTTTCTATTAAGTCTTTTGAAGCAAACAACAAAGATAATATGTAGTAACATATAACAAACGACATTTATGACAATAGAGACTCATATGTCATATCTCAGCAATCAGAGTGCAAAAGAGCGGAAATTTTCAATTTCTGGATATAACCTATACTTTTAAGAGGTTTCATCAGCTAGAAAAAAATTCAGGAAGAATTAAAATGGACACTGGTTCTAGATTTCAGCATCCCAAATGGATAACCAAAACTCCTAATTTCTGGCGTCTAGGCACCCAAAAGACAAAACTAAACATATATCAAGCCAAATACATCATTATGCTGTCACCCGCCATGCCACACCCTAAGCCATGAAGTAGAGGATGGAAACTGTGGAGCAGGAAATTCTGCCAATTGTTTACTACTTTGAACTACATCACTTAGAATGTATCATTATGGAAGGCACCCAAATCTGAGGTACAATTCCTCTCCATACCACACTTTCAGCCTTTATATAACTATCATGTGCATACCTAAATAGTAAATAGAACTAAGAATCTGAATAACTTAATGTAGTAAGAGGTTGCCACGATGAAGAAGGTTATACACTAGATATAAACACAAAGCCTCCCTGTCTAATATCCTTAATTACTCACCAGCCGAAACAAAATAGAATCATATACCATCAGCAAGCACTACATCCAGCAACATTCTGGTTCTCAGTAGTCAACAAAGCTACTCCTTACTGTAAGGAAATTTCATAGAACAAGGATACTCGGGTTGAACTGATCATCAACATTCTAGTTCTCATTACTCAACATTCAGAATCGAAAACTATCACCCTTATGTTCCACACTACTACTGAGTTCGGATATCATGAACAACCATCAGCTCAAACATATCCTTAATAACTTGAGAACTATTATTGAATGATTCAAGCATAAAATAATTCTTAAGGGAAATAAAATAAATTTAAAAAAAATGGGTTTTGGGCAAAAACAACAATGTCCACATTCCACAAGGTATTCCACAAAAGTCTAATGACCCAATCCACTACCCCATTAAACAATTCAATCTATACCCATTTCACAAACTTTCATCAAATTGCAAATACAACAAAAATCAAACAAACCTCCCTAATTATCAACTAAATTCAACCTAAAATAAAAGAAATAATAATATTAATAAAAACAGTAGCACATTGAAAATTGAGAAAGAAGAGGAGAGAGAGAAAAGCCAAACCTGCACCAACGAGGATTGTGAGCTTCCCAGCCATTGATGGAGAAAACCCCACCAAAAACCCCTAAAACCAAAATTAATTCCCAATACAAAAATGAGAACTTTTTCTACACTTGGATCGATCTTCCTCCAAATTCCAAACCCCAACGAATCGGTCTCTCTTCCCCTTAAAAATGGAGGTCGAAGTCAAGCTCAAACTCCCTGATTCCGCCGCACACCAATCTCTTTCCGGCGAACCCAATTCCAGAACAACGTCTTCTTCGACGACACCAATTTCGAGGTGTTCTTCGACTGAGGTTTTGTGTAAACAAATTACTATGTAGAATATAGAGAAGATGAGCAGTGACTTGGAGAAGGGGGCTCGTTTTCTCTCTCCTCTTTGTGGTGAGGTTGGGGTTGGGTGCGCAATTTCGATTGTGTGGGGAAGAGAGAGAAAACAGAAAACAGAAGAAGGTAAATTCGAATTTGGTGGGGAATATCTCTGGTCTCCTATTTAGCAGGTTAGCCCAGATTATGTGGCTAGGGTAATGGTAGCAGGATGGGTAGAAAAAATTTGGTGATTAAGAGGCCTTTGTGTTTTTATCATGTAGCCCAATTATAATAGGCTACTAAAACTTTCAATGGGTGGAAGTGGAACTGAATCCAGCTTCAGATGATACATTAATAGAATGGACGTTTATGGGTATATGCTACTCCGTTTTTATTTCAGAGTTATACTTTGACCAGCATATGATTTTAGTTAAATTAATTTACTTTTATATAAAAAAGGCGTAAATGGGTAGTAAAGGTATTAAAAAATTATTTAAAAAAAATATAGTGGTGGTAATATTTTACTAAAAATTAAGGGTATGTTAGAGGAGAAAAAAATAATAATATAAAATTAGTAGTGGTATGGCTAGGCACCATGGGAGAAGAGAGATACTCCGTATAATATTAACATGAGGTAATTTGCCAAAAATAATAACACTTAAAAAAAAAAAAAAAAAAAAAAAAAAAAAAAAAAAAAAAAACCGCATTTGGTAAGTGTACCCCTTAAAAAAAAGAAGGGAGTAGCACTAGGTTAAGCTGGTTCGTGGCGTGGCACTTCATAATACTATATATGCTAGCGCCTGTAGGGTTGACAAAGCTGGCCTGACTCAATAATTCGGCCCGATTTGAAATAGCGTGTTTGGGTTGAGCTTTTCTACCCAATTTATTAAATGGGTCAACACAAACCTGACTTGAAATTAAATGGATTATATTAAAATTGAGAATTACATCCTAAAAATGACGACTTAACTTGGTTAACATTATAATAAAATAAAATAAAAGATATAACAAATGAACAAGTGAAAAAAAATGAATACTTTTTTATAAAAAATGAGCACGTAAAAATAGTGAACATTTAGTATATTATAATTATACAATTTTAAAAAGGAAAATGAAAATTCAATTTTATATGGGAAAATTTGGTAAAAATAATTTAACTTATGTTTTAAATAATCTCAACTGTATGTTATTTTTAAATAATCCAAATTTTAGTAGGCATCCACTTTAAACAAGCCCAAGTGACTAATAATAGGAGTAGACTAAAGTTGTCTACCTTTCCCCTTGTATCCTACTTACAATAACCACATTAACCAACTTGCTAGGTCAACGTGTATGGGGAAATTGTCAACATAAGAGGTTTGAGGATGATGGTACGAATTTAAATACCAAATTAGGTGATAATGTACGCTTTAGTGCTTCACCGTCAACCTTTTTCCAGTAGACATATTTTGGTGCGTGTCTACAAGTATACAATGGGTATTATGTATGAGTTTATATATAAGAAACTAGCTTTAATATGCACGCATCGCAGCGCATCAAACAATAATTAAAATATTTACACCTTTTTTTTTCATCGTTAGTTTTAAACAACAATCTAAATATCCAAATTTAATGAGTTAAAAATAAAGATAGTCCGATTAAGTTAAAATAACAAAAAGACAAACTACAAATACAACCTTAAAAAAGTCAACAAATATAAGCTTTAGAGAGTGGAAAATCTAGCATACAATAAAAAATACATGTAAAAAACGATGAATTAAGTTACGAGAGCAAGGTTGATCCAAAAGTGATTGTGATTGTCATGGTTGATTGTGGGGATGATTGATTATGGTGTTTCCTAACGATCATGAAAGTGTTTACCCGATAACCATAAAGAATATTTATAATTTAAAAATACAGAAGAAAAAAATAAAAAAGAAGGTTTGTAAGTGTATGTATCTTAATACCATCAAATAGATGAGCGAGTGAAACAACCAGATTCATAATAAGATTTTATAGGAATTAATTAGGTAAATTACTGGTTTGTGGATAAGTAGATTGACTAATAGAGGCAATAAATTTAGGATTTTGTGATCTACTTGAAATGAGAGATTGATTTTTTAAAATCACTAATTGAGGGACTGGAATTAATGAAATTTTTTAAACTAGGAAGGCAGTTGATGTAATAGAAATTGATAGATTAAGTCATGACATTAATTGATTTAATTAAAGACATATTTGATTGAATATTGGTGATGTAATTGCTTTTTATTTGAATCAATTAAGGAAAATGATATACATAGCCCTTAGGGTTTAATATAAAGAAGCTAAAAATGAAAAAAATAAAATAATAATAATAATATTAATTACACCAATTTACGCGTGATTTTGATAAATATATATCACATTATTAGGAAAAATCTATATAAAATATTTATTCTTAACCCTAAGGGCTACATATATCATTACTCATCAATTAAATGCAATTAAAAACATAGACTACTTATTATTGTAATATAAGCCAAGAGGTGTACTAAAATCTTTTTTGGTGGACATCACAACATCCCCTCAACTTATATAGTAGAGATAATCTAAACAAAGTACAAGAGATTTAAAATGTAAGTTTAGTTGTTATAGTTACATACCTCAGATCAAATCAACCTTGAGTCCTTGAGCCGATTGAAAGCCAAATTAAACCATATTATCACTCAATTTAATTTAATATATATCATTAAATGCTCCATTTATAATCATCACAATTAATAATTAATATGATCGTAAACATATTAAGTTTTTCTATTTCATACAAGATCAAACCATGCATGCATATGGTCACGCGCGTAGCTTGTATGTAGTGATTTAATACGAAGTAGTCTTTTATGTACCCATTCAATCCTAATCTTGTAGATAAAAAAATTAAAAAAAATACTCGTAATTGTTTATAAATAAAAAAATCCAAGGCATGCTTAGCTTAGCTTAGCTTGTACAATTTACATATATTATTACCAATAAGTATTAAAATAACAAGTAACATTAGGTTTTTCCCCTCGATATAAAACTCATCAACTTTTTTTTCGGTTTGAAGAAGAAGAAAAGAAGAAAAAATAAATAAAAAAAAATTAAAAGGAGGTGTAAATTTGCATTTGAGTCAAAATATGCTCAAAATTATCAGTAGATCTTTCAATAGAGTGAGAATGAATTCCTTCATAAGTAGTGACAACTACTCCTTCATCGTTGGAAAGGCGTTGAACTTGTTTCTTCACATTGCATCCTTGATACGTGCACCTGTAGTAGCTCCTGCATACATTTATACACATGAGATAAGTTTTGTTGTCTTAGAATGAATAATTATTTAATTATTAATGATAATTGATAAGATGATTAAACTATAATCAATTCAAAGGAAGTTGACTGACGAGAACAGGTTTTTTCTTTTATATTCTTTTATACGCATGCGTTCATCTAAATGTTTATGACTTTTATAAGGAAAATAAATATTAATTCAAGCAATTACTATAAATGTGATTTTATACTCCTTGTAAAATCAAAATTACTTTGTATATATTATACGAAGTATCTTAATTATATTATTATGGTATCTGATGACAATAAGTATATATACTGAAGCTAAAATTCTCTTACGGAGTAGATGTTTTCATACGAAGTATATGATATAGATTTATTTAGCTGAAAGATATAATCTTGAATTCAGGATGCTGCACATTAATTAAAGGACCCTACACTTACTTCTAATTAAGCTAGTTACGCATGTCATTACACTATAATTTACAAAGTATATACTAAGCTCATATTATTTCCCAAAAAAAGAAAAAGAAAAAAAAAAAAAATATATATATATATATATCAAGGGAGATGAAGAATAGAATTTGTATATTGTTGAGTGTTCTAATTGAATTGTTATCTTTATTACTTCATTTTGATATGAATAGCATTTTTAATATTACCATAGAGCGTATTGAGTGTTCTAATTGAATTGTTATCTTTATTACTGCATTTTGATATGAATAACATTTTTTATATTACTATAGAGCAAATGTTTGAATTGAACCAATAAATTTCATCGAGTATATTAGCTGATCTAATTACTGTAAATTAAAGATCGTCCTTATGATGAAATTATAAAAATCAGTGAGATAATTAACTATGTGATACTAATTAATTAAGCAAATTATAATTGAAGTATATAGTAATTTGTTTTAGTACAAAAATACATCTATACACATATACAAGAATATAAACAAACCTTGGAAACTTGTTATTCTTGACGGCCTTTTGACCATATTTTCGCCATCTATAGCCATCATCAAGTATATCAACTTGGCTCCTTGTTTGAAAAGCATACCTATGCTTCTTTGCCTTCTTCTCCGACGAACCCTTTTTATTATAATAATAATTATTATTATTATTATTAATCAACTTATCATTTGCCATATTATTAAAACTCTTATTTTGATCATCATCATTATGATTATCTTGATGACTATGAGGAATAATAATATCATGATAATTATCCATTAATTGAGATTGAACAACCATGGGAGATGGAATCTGCTGCGGCGGCTCACTCATCATCATCAACTCCGTAATCAACGGTCCAGATTGGTTCCCTACACCGTGATGATCATGATTATATTGATGATCTATGTTATGATCAAAGCTATTATTGGAAGAACTAGAAACTTGGCTTAATGAAAAAGGAAAGTTACTATTATTAGTTGGTGAAGAATTTGATGAGTTTGTAGAAGAAGAAAATATAGAGTAGCCTTCCATTTTTATCTAGAGAGAGAAAGAGGAGAGAGAAAGAGGAGAGAGAAAGAGAGAGAGGTTATTTCTATATGTAATTAAGATGTTCATAAAAGGGTTATATCATGAAAGTGGATGTAGATTTATAATAGTATGTGTGTAGTGTTGTGTGAATTTAGGGGTAGAAGAAGTATGGCGGCTTGATTGATGGCGGCGCCTATCTTTTTTTTAAAATGCGCATGTGTTTTAGACTAGCAATAGTCGTTAAAGCTGGGTTATAGGTCAATAGATAATTGGTTACTGCGATTGCATTGGATATTTTTAATACATTGATGTTGCATCTTGTATACATTATTTCAATTTAATTTGAGTCAGTATATGTGTTTGAAATAAATGATTTTTTTTTATTAAATTTAAAAAGATTTTACAAATGACTGTAATTTGAAAAATTAATCTGAAACTAGACGAAAACTTATTACATAATTAAACATATACAATTTCATTTGAATGCGTTTAACAATTGCAAAAAGTAAAATGAGGCAATAGAGTAAACTATTCTAAAGACATTTTTGTACACTAAAAAAAAAAATCCAAAATTCGCCAATGTATGACTATATTTAATATCGAAAAATGAAGCTGGAATTATTGAGCTAATCAGATCAACAAGGAGTGTTTTATTTGAGACTGTACTGCAGACCTACAGTACTACATTTATAAATAAGAGACGTAAACGTCACGTAATCAAAAAGATGGTAGACGGTAAGCAATAACTTACAAGTTACTAATAGATAGCTTTAATTTTCATATTTAATTTAGAAATTTTGGATGGATTAGGGGATTACTAGTTTGAATTTGGGGTTAATTAGTTACTTTTGCAATTAAGTAGCAAATGACTTAAGGAGCACTACGATAAGGTTGAAATTAAGGCAGCTTAATGATTAGGCGGGTATATAGAATAATTAAATTATATATAAACTTTTCTTTTCAAAAATATATTTGATTTTGAATATTTAAATTCCAATTGAATTCATATGATAATAAACAGAGGTTAGTTTGAACTTGAAAAATCAACTATTTAAAAAAGAGTTGAACTCAAATTTAATTTGTGATTTCATAATCTACTACTTGTAATAAGTTGTAACCCCGTAAGAGGAAGTTTATCTTACTTTAGACCTTTCAATATTTTGACCTAGTAATGTATGTGATGACATTTTTGAAAATAAGACTCAAAATGATAAGTGGAGACTATTTAGGAGCCTATTTTATCTTATTTTCGTTTATTTCAGGAAATTAAATATAAGTTCAGATAAGATAAATTCAAGTATTTAATACATTCTGATAAGAGTTGATAAGGAGTACCTTATATTAGTATAGTTTACTATATACTAATAAAAATCTAAAATAACCTTTAATAATAAGGTATAAATTAACTGATATATAACATACTCTAAATTAATATCACTTAACAGATCAAAGTACATACATAAATGGTATAATAAAAAACCTCTTGAGTGTAATTAAGAAATACTTTTTTATTTTTGAATTGAAAGATAGTTGATTCAATAGTAGTGGACATGAAAGTTGTTAAATCCTAATTAAGAAATTGTTCTATATAATCCAAAGTAATGTACACAGTTGCACTCTATAATTACTGTTTGGGTCCAATTTAGTCCAATTGGGCCTAGTCATTAAATGATTCAATTAAAAGCCCAAGGTCAAGGTTCAACTCTCCAAATGTGCTAAAGTCAAAGATCAGTCCTCAAGGCAAGCCAATTGGGCTAAGGCCCAACTTCTCCATATATGCAAAGGTATAAAAGCCATCAATATTACATTTGTACATTCATTCAACAAAGCCTCAAGCAATTAATTCTCTTGCATAGTGTTCTCTTTCTACACACTGTACTGACTTTAGCATCGGAGGGGCCTTCCTCGGCAACACCCCCGAGGCTAGTTTACGTGTGTTTACTGTGCAGGAAACCTTCGGCCCAACATCACTTGGACTGAATCCAGTCTTCTTCATCTCATCGGACCTTCGACAAGGTCCCATTGTTTTCACCCGAAACAATTTGGCGCCGTCTGTGGGGAAGACTTTCAAAAAATCTTTAAGCCAAATTTCTAACCAAGATCATCTTGCAATTATCTTAGTAGCAATGGCTAAGAACCGCAAGAGCAAAGGCCTCCGTCAAGGAGCAGGTGAAAAGCCTAAAACCCCTACACCATCACCCTCACCGGACCGGAACTCTCCCAAGGGTGCCAGCTCGGGGCGAGGTTCATACAGGGAGGATTCCCTTTCTCCCGTAATTCATAATTCTCATCATAGGCCGAGTCACTCTCGGTCTAGCAGGGGTCAATCCGATCATAGGACGCATTCAGTGCCCCAAAGCCAACCATCGATCGTCCGCTCTCATTCCCATACTCAGCCGAGGACCCCTTTGACGGGGCCCAGCTCGGAGGAGGTGGCAAGAGCGTTGGCAGTGCTCATGGAGGCAATGAGGGCACAAAATATGCCACCACCTCGTGATCGAACTCCTCCGCATACCCGGCATCAGCGGAGGAAGCTAGACCATGATGGTGGGAAACTTCCTTCCTTCCGGGAACTGGAAGAGTGGGAAGAGGATACCTGGAAAACTAAAAGAGAGAAGAAAAAGAACCCTCAATTCTTCAAAGGATCCTCAACCTCCCGACCAGAAACGCATAAGAGCAGCAGTTCAGCTTCTCGGCCAGAATCTGCTCACCGAGAACAACCTGAGACTGTTCGCCGAAGCGTCCTCGACCGACTCGGCGGCAAGGAACCGAGCGTGCACAGTCGCCTCTCGTTCCCTGCGGCCGAGGCCCAGACTTCCCAGCCAGGGACGAAAACCACTCCTACCTCTCTAAGAGGGCGGAGCGCGGTCCCTTCGGCCAGGAACAAGGGCAAGGCCGTTATGCTACCCGCCAGTTCGCCATTCGAGCAGTGGATACTGGAAGAGCACGTGCCCACGGTTAAAATACCGTCGCACATCACATATGATGGAACTTCGGATCCGAAGGACCACATTGCCTCGTATGAGGCTCGTATGCATCTTTGCCCCAGATCCGAAGCGACTTGGTGCAAATATTTCCCAACCACTCTCAAGGGGGTCGCGCAAGCGTGGATCTCCAAGGGAGTAAAGCAAGGCTCCATAACGATGTGGGATGATCTGTCCTCCAAATTTAGGAGCAAGTTTTCCACGGCAAACCGCCGAGAGAAGACTACTGCAGAACTCATGAGTCTGCAACAGGGGGAAACCGAAAGCCTCCGAGACTATCTAACCCGTTTCAGCAACGAGTCATCCAGCGTCTCTCAGCTCGACCAGGGGCTAGCCGTTTTTGCAATGCAGAATGGCCTTCAGCCCGGGAAGTTCCTAGACTTCATGGTCATGCATACCCCGCAGACCTTGGAGGAAGCTCTGAATGCCTCGGATAAGTTCCTCCGAGCCGAAGAGTGGAACAAATCGAAAACCCAACCTCAATTCGGGGGAGGGAAACAAAAACAAATACCCTTGTCTGAAGTCCAAGGCCATAAGGCAAAGGGAAAGTCAAAGGCCTCGGAGCAATCCTCGGCCAGCGACCCAAAGAAGGAAAAATTTGCTTCATACACAGGCAGATACGAGTCCTACACTCCGCTCTGTCTTCCACGCGCCAAAATTTACAGCGTGACGAAGGAGGAGCAGAGTTACCGAAAGCCGAGACCACTCCCAGAGTGGTATCAGCGAAAAAATAAAAATCAGTGGTGCGAGTTCCACGAATCTCCGGGACATAACACTGAGGAGTGTATCCAACTGAAGGACCAGATAGAGGACATGGTCCGGAAGGGATACTTGAAAAAATACATCGCAGGTCACCGCGAGAAAAAAGAGTCCGAGAAGTCAGCAAAGGACTCTCGGCAAGACCTCGACTTCCCCGGAAGAACAGTAAAAAGCCAGAGGGAAAATTCTCTCCGATTAATGTTATCTCGGGAGGAATATGCTCTCGGAGGGAGCACAAGCGACACCTTAGGGCTTTGACCCACCAGGTGAACAACGCTGACATTCAGTCTCCCCAATCGCCGGTGCCGAACATGACGTTCACAGCCGCCGACTGCCGGGGGGTAACGTTCCCTCACGAGGATCCGTTGGTGATCATCGCCACGGTGGCCAACCACGACGTCAGTAAGGTCCTTGTTGACGGTGGCAGCGAAGCAAACATTCTGTTCCGAAAGGCCTACAATCAAATCAAGCTGAAGCCCAAGCACCTTACGCCGGTACCCTACCCGGTATCCGGGTTCAACGGGGCTTCAACTTATCCAGATGGGAAGGTGACACTTCCTGTCACCATCGGCTGCGATGAAGCAGCAAGGAATGTCATGATTGAATTTTTGGTCATTGACGCTCCTTCAGTGTACAACGTGATTTTGGGGAGACCCATAATTCATGAGATCCAAGGGGTCGTCTCAACTTATCATCAGCTGATGATTTACGTCTCAGACGCTAGCTTCCTCGAAAGGATACAGGGCAACCAAAAGGACGCCCGAAGGTGCAACTACCTCAAGCCATCCAGTAGTCGCCCAGATGACGACAAGGATGAGGAGGAGAAAGAAAAAGAAAGAGAGCCAGGCACAAAAAAGCCGAAAGGCCTAAGCGCTTCGGCCAAGGATCTGTGCCCAGAGAAAAAGGGCTCGAAAGGGAAAAGGCTAGCTCTTCAGTTGAACCGAAAGACTCAGAGAGCCAGCCGAAGAACAAAAAGACTGGGACACCTGCTGACATAGGCAGCAGGCCAGATTCTGAAGAGTCCAGTCCATCAGCAATGGATATGGACCAACAGACTGAAACAGTTCAGTTGGCCGAAGGAGACGTTGAGAAATGTGTAACAATCGGGATGGACCTTGATCCGAACACCCGTTGTGAACTTATTCATCTCCTTCGGGATAACAGAGATGTGTTTGCTTTCTCGGCAGCTTATATGCCGGGATAAGTCCAGACCTCATCTCCCATAAGCTTAATGTTGACCCAACGTGTCGACCAATTAAGCAAAAGAAGCGGAATTACTCCGCTAATAAGAACCGAGACATCGCAGCCGAGGTCAAAAAATTGCTGGAGGCAGGCTTCATCGAGCCTTGCCAATATCCAGAATGGCTGGAAAATGTGGTGATGGTTCAAAAGGCCAATGGTACCTGGAGGATGTGCGTCGACTTCACGGACCTAAATAAGGCTTGTCCAAAGGATTTTTATCCCTTGCCGA